ACACAGCAACCTCATTTTGGATTGAACAGGATTGCCCAGCTTCAGTAGGTAAAGATCGTATATGTGGCCTCTGTTAGGACGAGGCGGCAATATCTTGGCCTGGGCATCCGTTACAACAGCCTCCATCTAGTTTTTACTTTTAAAGCTACCTACTTATGCCTGTTGGGAAGACTTCATTCACTGCGCTTCCCTTTCCCTCCTTGCCCGTCATGCATCCCTTAGGTGACACCATCATGTTTATAGGTTAAGGTTAGGCTGAAGTCCGAGGGTCACGGTTTTAGTGCGAGGGTTAGCCCTGTGTTTAGGGTTGAGTGTTGGATTTGCAGTATTGTCGACTTCAATGATATCTCAAGTCGAAGCAATAAAGAGCGCACGAGTTAACGAAATATTCTTGATATTTTCTCCTTCAATGTGATTGAAGAAGAAGAATAGTGCTATATTGAGGATTTTAAAACCCTGAAATTTCAGCAAAAATGGCTCCATTCACGGAGGGCAAAGGATAAGGTAAATAAGGGGTCATGTTAAAAGGTCAAAGGTAAAAGGTCATGTAATACTCACAATTCAAGTTTTACACGATATCCACATGAACTATGGAGACAGATCGGCTTTCAATTTCTCAATTTCCGCTTCTTCACAGGTGAGGAAGCGTGCCTAGGAATGGAGAGTACCGAGTGCTGATATGCTGATGTGCGGCAAGTCATATGATGGAAGCCAGTGCTGATATGCTGATGTGCGGCAAGACATATGACGGAAACCTCGACGCATGGTTATAACGGACAACTACCATTTCGCCTGGAGTATCTAGCCACTGCCATGCCGGTTTTCTGTTCTTGCGTCCGTATACAGTCCTTAATTTCCAGTATTTACATTTAGTGTGCGTCCATTTAGGCTTTATTGGCATACTCGAACGCGGTAATATCGTAGAGGCAATTATCTTTTACCTTTTACGTCCTGAAAACAGGAGTCCTTATCTCCCGTTTTCCGAATGGGGTCGCATAAACGATCGTCACCCCTTAGCGTATAGTCTGTGCACGTCCCGTCTCCTAACTGCCAATCATTTCTCCCTGATGTGCAATTTGCAGGTTCCTGCTCAAACCGGAATTTATGCGCCGACCCGAGCGGCAGTTCGATCCCTTCTCTGAATCCCCCATGGATGGAGTGATTGCAGCCACCTGCGAGGTGCGCATCATTTCAGGCCAGTTTCTCTCCGACCGGAAGGTGGGCACTTACGTGGAGGTGGACATGTATGGCCTGCCGACAGACACCATTCGGAAGGAATTCCGGACGCGTGTTGTTCCCAACAACGGTCTCAATCCCGTTTACGGTGAAGACGCCGTCTTCGTCTTCCGCAAGGTTGGTGTACTGCTTTATTTTGTGTTGAGTCTGTCATCAGGTCTTTCACCCCCACCCAACATTCAGGTGTGTTAGGTGCTTGTCGGGTCAGTCTGCGTCCAGTGCCTACGATTCTTTTGATAGTAAGCTTAGCTTCTCTCCCCCGGTCGTCAACCGCTTGACGAACGTCTCTTGCCACAACCTTGTTAAGTACGAAAGGGTGTCTTTTCACCAAAACTCCTCATCGCTATTCATCGAAACGCCAAGCTACAGTAGTCGCCGGCTATTAAGCCCACCCCGGGCCCAGACCAAATTGGGC